TACCAATGTCTACTCCTTGGTCAAAAACACACAGGTGGCACCGAGGGAACCAGGATCTTGAGACTGCCTGGGCCCAAAGAAATCTTGGAAAATAGTGAGTTAAACAGAACAGCGATGATAATGATGATGGTGTAAGAGCATCTATCGAGTGGTTCCGTGTGCTCAGGGTTTCGTATACATGCTCTCATCGCATCGGATGCTGGGAGTTTTAGGTGGCATTTTTATTCTCGCCTTAAAGGTGAGGGATCTGAGGTTAAATAAGCAGAAGGAAGGCTAGGGGCTCTCACCCAGCTGAGACCACTTGGCAAAGCTGTGGCCACGCCCCTTGGCTAGGATTTGATTGGCAGGACAACAGAGCTGCTTCCCCAGCCCGAAGCAGCCAGCGCACTTCAGCCTTTCTCACACTTTGAGCCCAAGAAAAGGGCTAAGAAAGGGCTTGCGTGCTTCTCAAACGGTAACTTCTGTGCATTTAAGATTTCCTATTGAAATTCCGGCCTTAACTCATTCACAGAAAGTATCGGGGCCTTTTCCTGGCTGAAGCCCTAGCTGTATTCACCGAATAGAAAAAGAGGTTCACAAAAGAGCTGCCGGCTTTGGGAGGACCGGGAAAGCGGAAAGCGGCTCAGGGTGTGCTGAGCATGTCAGCTGGCAGGAAGCTCTCTGCAAGAAATACGTGCCCCCTGCCATCCACAAGTTGCCTTTTCTCTCCCCCATAGTAACGGAGCTTGCTGGGTGCCAGGCACTGCAGCCTTATGTCACTGAACCCTCCTGTTGCCCCCATGAAGTGGATCCCATTGTTACCATTTTGGTTGTTTTTGTTGAGGACCCTAAGATGCAGAGGCCAAGCCATGTCCTCAAGGTCACTGAGGGGCAGAGGTGGGGCTCGAATCCTATTCGTTAGACTCGGAAGTCCGCCCGCGAACTCTGAGAGACGCTGCCGCCTTCTCTAGTGATGTGGGGAGTGGACGAGACGGAGCGCGGCCTGGGCTACTGTGATTGTCGCCCTGTCACATGGACAGAGCCGCGGACCCAGGGCATTCCAGGGGCATCTGGAGGCTGACGACAAGGTTCTCTGTGAGTGCCAGCCCTGAAGTTTCCCCAGCATTTTATATCAAGCCTCATTTTCATAGCCAAAAGTGTTAGTATGGAAGTATGACTTTTGATTCTGGAAAGTTCTGCTTGGTGAAGAGACGTTCTGACGTTAAGGCTACAAACAACATTTTTTTGGAGGGTGGTGGCGGTTCTGAAGCTCAAGGGGAGTAATTTCATGTCCCAGGGCTTCGAACGTGCCACCTCTATGAACAGGTGACGTTTCCTACAGGAGACCGAAAAAAAATTAAGGCTCCTTGCGAAACTATTAGGTGCAAAATTGAAAACAAAAAAGGGAATTTTATTTTTCTTTACCTACCATTTCAAAAACGAATATATACTCCTTGGAAGGAACTGATGCCAAGACAGACGCACACGAGTTCCCTTTCGAATCCCGCAAAACTTTAAAATTGATGATTATTTTTTTTTTGTCCGACAAACAGGAATTTCTGGCAACATATTAATAGCAAACCTTGAGTGCAAACCCGAGTCCTGGAGTGCAAACCCCAGGAGCACCGGTGAGTGAAGGGTGAGGGGACGCCCTGGCCGGGAGACGGCGAGGGACAAGGGTGGGGAAGCGAACCGGGGGTGGGGACAGCAGGTCTGGGTGGGACTTCTGTCTCTGCCACTGAGTGTCAGCTTCAGTTTTCCCCTCTCTCCAAGGGGCTGACTCTTGCCAGCGTTCCTTGCAGAGATGTTGGGGGAGGGGAAGCGTGTGGCGCGGGTGTGGCCACTCCTTAAGGGCTCAGTAAATAATTTCATCGGTGCTGCCACGATTGTGGCTACAGTTCTTATAAATCTCAATTGTGAATCCCGTGAACTTGAAAGTTCCCAGATCTAGCTCTTCTGGGGATCCTGGCACAGATTCCACCCAGTCATTTCAGATCCTTCTCCACCGAAGGGTGACTAGTGCCCAACAGGCTGGCACGGCCCCGCATTGTGTATGAACGAGGCAGCCCATGAATAATGCATTGAAGCCTGTTTATGCAAACCCTCAGGTTTCCTTACATTTTTAGCCAGCACATGACAATGGCCTTTTTGGTGCCCTTTGCTGTCCCATTCTGTGGTCTGGTGTCTCTGCTTTGGGGCTAGTCTGCCAAGCCCTGGGGTGGTGGTGGGTGGGGGGCGCCTCAGAAGGGGTGAGCTCTCCAGAGGACACATCAAAGGAAAAGTCGGAGCTCTGTCCCTGGCCCAGCTGTCCCTGGTGTTGCCTGGCGTGAGAGGAAGCTGTCCTCTGCCTGAGGCAGCCCCATGACACAGGCAGACAGAGGTCTGTGATGTTTAATTCAGAGCAGCGCATGGAAGCGCCACATCCGGTGCTTTCTCAGAGGAGGATCATTTCCGGGGGCTACTGGCCAAGGAGTCTGCTGTCTGGAAGGTTTGCAGGTCAGAGGGCAGCCTCCCTCAGCTTACTGAAGTAAGCTCGTTACCTGTCTGTTCTGCACTAAAAGATACATTCTTCAAGGACATCCATCCATCCATCCCATTCACCTGTCCGTCCGTCCACCAAATATTTTTTGGGTATCTACTATGTTCTGGGAGCTCGCAACAGCGAGAGCCAACCTCTAGTCTCAGAGATCGTATCCCACTATATAGATCAGATCCATCTATATATGCCCTCAGGACCTGGCAGAACAATAAAAATGTGCATAATGGCCACCATTTAAAAAAGTACAGGTGAATTTCATAGAGGTTAAGAGATTACATGGTCAGTGGTAAAGCTGAGGTCTAATCCTAGGTCCACCCGATGCTAACGCTATCCTGCCGCCCTCCTTTGCATCAGTGAATGCGCTGCCCGCATCCCCCTGGGAGTTTCTGCACCCAGCGGGGACCTCTCACCTTCTGCTGCCTGATGACCCTGTTCATCCTCTTCTCCTGGTGCAGCTGGTGCTCCATGCGCTCCAGGGCCTCCTTCAGCAGTGCCTTCTCTTCGGCCTCCTTGTAGATATTGTCCTCCAGCTTTGCCACCTGTGACTGGTACATCTGAACGGACACTTTGCTCTGCCTGAGCATGTGGGAGAGACAAAGTCTCTTGTCCCTTCATCTTTCTCATTCCCCATCAATGTCCCCGACCCGGCGGATGCTCGAGATACTCCCATACACGGCTAACTTAGCGCTTTCGTTACACACAGGCGAGAATGGCAAAGATTTGGGGAGTGGAGGGCAGAATAAAATAGTGAATCGGCTGAGTAAGTGCAGTACGAGGGGGCGGTGGGGGGGGCTATGTGACCAGCTCCTCCCAGTTTCCCAGAAAGGGGAGGGAGCCCTGCACCCCCTGAGAAGACGGCGGGACTATGAAAAGCTCACAAATGGTGAAACAGCACACAAATTCACGGGCGGTGCAGCTTATTTACTGAGACAGAGGAGAGAACTGCGAACACCGAGCACTTCGACGGCTGCTGCCTCACTGAGACACTTGTCTCTGTCAGGCCCTGGTCATCGTCCTGCCCCTGATCCCCCCCCAATATCTTAGTTATTCCACGCCCAGGCCTCTGTCCTCCTGTCTGGTCCTAGGTGTCTGCTGCTACCCTGAGGTTTAGACGGGAGGATGGTTATCTGGGTCTTTCCGCGCGGACACGGATGGTACCTGAGCTGCTCGATGTCCTTTTCATAGCCTCTCAGAAGCTCCTCTTTCCTCTCCAGCCGGTTCTTGAGTTGAGTGATCTTGTCGAACACCAGATCGAGGTCTCTTTGCCGAAGCTTGTTGACTCGCTCCCTCTCTTTGGGGGAGAGGTATTTCATGGACACGTGACCTGCCATGTCTTTGATGTTCATCAGGCTCCCGAGCGTTTTGCTCATATCCATGTACTACGAGGAAAGCGTTTCGTGGAGCAGGGGCCTGGCCCGAGGCCGCCGGTGGCCGCTTTGCGGCGGCCAACACCTAATTCCGTTTCATTCTTTTTTTGGCAGATCGCAGAGAACGAACACACGCTCTGGAAATGAGCGCAACTGGGGCTTTTAGTATGACTTTCATTTTCCCTGCATCTATTTACACTGTGCCTTTTCGAGAGCCCCAGGGCAGAGTGACAACAGATATAAACAATCATTCCAACGCCCCGGTTTTTCAAGGAAGCTGGCTCTGGCACGTCGGACCCGTGCTGGGGTAGTACACGGGTCTTGCAGAGCCATTTTAACAGCTGAATATGCACGCAGGGTTGACGTTTAGTTAAACTATCCCGTGGTTAATGTGACTGCGGGGGTCCCGGGATTAGACAGGAGGGGGTCGGAGGCCGTCTGTACATACCAGCTTTTCGCTGAGCTCCAAAGCCTCGGCCACATCCATTTTCCCTGACTTCTCCGTGGCCTGGATGAGCCCTGAGTTGGCAGGGCCATTTTGAGGCTGAAATAAAAAAAGAAATAAAAAAACTCCCTCTTGGCATTCCATGATACATTTCTGCATCCAGATATTAAAACGCGGCGTGGTTACTGAAGAAGAACCTGGGAGAGCTGATTTTCATTTCGGTTCCTGGCTGTGCAGTCTGACATCTCTGTCAACTGCTCTCTCGTAACTGTGGCCCTACCCTTCGGACAGTGACTCTCTGTGAAATGACACGTCTTGTTCTTTGGTCACCGTCTGTCTTCCCTCTAGACCAGCAGTTTTCAGCCAGGGGGGATTTTGTCTACCCTCGCTGCTCCCTGTCCCCAGGCATTTAGTCCTGCCTGGGTACATTTTTGGTTGTTAAAACTGGGGTGGGTGGGTGGGGTAGGGGGTGCTACAGGCATCCAGTGGGTAGAGGGCAGGGATGCTGCTGCACATCCCCCAGTACTCAGGATAGCCCCACAACCAAGAGCTACTTGGCCCAGAATATCAGCAGCACTGGATTGAGAAACCCTGGTCTGGATGACAAGCTTCGGAGAAACAGGGACCCGTGCTTTTGCTCACTGTCCCGAGCCTTCGGCCTGCCATGACAGCTGGTACAGAAGGCACGGAGCGGGCATGTTTGTTGAATGAATGAGCAAAGGTTAAATAGAAAATAACTTTCCTCCTTCGATTAGAGGAATCTGACTTTGATACCCTCATGACAAACCTCCTAGTGCTGGAACCTGGTGGGTGAGCATCACTTCAGAACCCTTCCAGAGACAATGCAGGATGGCGTTTGCAGCTGTGCACTCACTAAGACCCTAGTCAGCCAGCTGGCTGCTGCAAGTCCCTACTGACTGCATGGTAAAGCCACCGGACTCATCAGGGAGTCTGAAGGACCACCTTCAACTTAACCATCCAATCACCCCTGAACATTCTGGCAAGTAAAACTATGCTCTCTAAGAAAGGAAGGCTTTCTTGAATCATACTATTTAAATAATATTTAATAACAGCTATCACTTGCTAAGTGTTCACTATGAGTTAGGCACTGGGATAAGCACTTTCCGTAATTATCCATCTCCTTTAATTTTTTCATCATCATTTCATAGCTGGGATATGGAGTTCCAGGAAGGTTAACAGCCTCACCCAAGGTCACACTAGGATTCCAACATGGGTCTCTCTGACTCTAGAGCTGGTGTTCTCTCACACGGGGCTCCCTTCTGCTGCCCTTTCTGTGTTCATGGTTTTCAGTTTATAGCAAAAAAGCAAACTTCAGGCAAACTCATGGCACAATGTTATAAATTAGCCTGTTGAATATTTTCTGCAGAATATAACACATAATGTGAAAAGGAGGGCCGGCCAGAGGTTGACCTGGCCCAATGTCCATGCGAAAATATATTATGCTGTGCACAAGTGGAAGGCTGCCTTTCTATTCGAACACTGGACCAGTGATAATGCAAGGCTCTGGCCAGTCCGTACAGACGCTGGCCCGTCAGGCAGGACCTGGCCTTGAACTGCTAATATGTGAGGCTGTGCCAGGGCACGCAGCTAGTGCCTACCCTCGATGCCCGCCCTCCCACATGTCCGTCACTGCAGAGACAAACTTGTTTGGGTTACCACTGTGATCTCTATTCTTGAGAGAGTTGGCAAACCGGATTTTGAGTCCAATATTTTCTGGACATTTTTTTCTATTCTGAGAGTCTTGAAGTCTAGAAATGATTCATTCAGGTGGTCCTTATGATCTAGAAAAGAAATGATTTAGACTCAAAAGAAAGGCCCAGGAAAAAGTTATTGCATGTAATCACCACCACTGCTATTTACTGGGCTTGTCCAAGGTCACACAGCTAATGTGAGGCTGCAGCCTCTCGTGAATGAGGGTGGAACTTGAACCCAGTTTGCATCCGGGTCCTAGCCCAGGGCTCCACCCACCAGCAAGCTCAGTTATCTTGAGAGCTCTCTCCCCTTCAAACAGGGTATTCTAGAAGGTTCCTCAAGGTTGATCCTTGCGCAGTGTTAGTCCGTGACAAAGATTCCACAGGGCCACAGAGCAGTAAGAAAAAGGATAATGTAGTGGGTTCTTCATGAAATCCTGTTTATTTAATATCAAGGCCTGCCCTCGATGCCGAGATCACGTCGGCCCACCTTTTATTTTTTTGTAGTAAAACAGCCTTTTGGTTATGAAATTATAGGGCTAGAAGGTGGTGGTCCCGGCCCACCATGTGGGGCCCACAGTGAACCCTGGCACTGGGGGCCCGCGGCGGCGCTGGGCCCGGAGAGGCTGACAGGCAGGAGGGTGCTTACCCGAGGAGCAGGCCTTCTCGAGTTCTCTGATCCGCGTGCGCAGCTCAGATAGGGCCCTTTTCTGGCGCTGAATGACTTCCTCGTGCCGCGACCCTTTGCACTTGGCCCCCAGGTCGCTGAAGGACTGCTCCTGCGGCCAGAACAGGACAGACGGCAGCTGTACGAGGGCGAGACTCTCCCTCTCTCACATTAGAAGAACCGTGAACCATTCATGTCACGGATGGCGGAAACCTCGTTGCTTTGTACTTTGGAAAAGGCTGTTACGGGGCTTCGGCGGGGAAAGGATTTTAAAATTTCGTTTCCAATGTAGAGTTAGATCTAGGAAGATTTCCAACTTTCCTAGCTACTTCGCGTCACTATGAATAAAGGACCCCGCTATGGCCCCTCCCCACGTTTCGTTTATTTCCTTCTGATGTCCTAAGCTTGGGTTTCTATTTGTCGTCATGTTGGTCTCGCCCCTGAATGGCACATCAAATTCTGCTCCAGAAGGGGCGTTTTTAGATGGGGACACATGATACTTGCTTCTTAACTGGTAATAAGGGTGGCTGTCTAGTATTTGCTAGGGGGAATTTGATAGACAGGCTCTTGGCTGCTCTGGAGAAAGGACAACCTTTCTCTGAGACTTCCAGAGCTTCTAGAACAGCACTGGGCCACGGAACGTTCTGCCAGGGTGGGCGTGTTCTCTCTCCGCGCCATCCCGTCGTGGACTCCAGGTCACACGTTGCTCTGGGATAAGCCGGTCACGCACTCGCTCATCCATTCATTTCACACAGATTTATCGAGCACCTCGATGTGCCGAGCCTTATGCTAGGTCCCGGGGACTCAGCAGTGAATGCAACGGGCGATGTTCCTGCTGTGTCGATTCTGCATCCTTGTGTGGGGACACAGATGACAAGTAAGGTGAGGGTGGAAAATGTCTGGTGGACAGCGGGGTGGTAGAGAAAACCTGGAAACAGGAGGGGTGTTGAGGATGGTTTTCTGTAGACCTGCTAGGGAAGGTCCCAGGCAAAATGGCCAAAAAAAAAAAGGAAGAAACTGACAATTTGGTTCTTTTATAACAATTTTTAAAATAACAATTTTGGTTCACTTTATATATTCAGCAAATGTGTGTGAATGTGTAGAGAGGCAGACACTGTTTTAGGCACTGGGAAGAGATCGGGAAACTGGGCGGACAAGCCCCACTGCCTTGGGGCTCCTTTCTGCGGGGCAGACACAATGACTAAGCAGGCGGGAATGTAAATAATCCCAGAAAGTGGTAAATGAACGAAGCAGAGAGAGGGAGAGAGACGTTCACTTGATCTTTCTTTGAGGCATCCAATTCTTAGTAAAGGCCTATAGGGCATGTCCTGGGCCCTCAGTAGCCACGCTGGTCATGCGGGTACAAGGCCCATGGCTGAGGGCCTCCTGGGGCTGGTCCACCCACCCCGTGTCCCCACCACTTGTTCCTTCCTCCGGACTCTGCTCCAGGTCCCTTCCGGGAGAGGCCTCCCTGGCCACCTGATTGGAAAGAGCCCTTCGCCGCCCACCCCATGATTCTCTCTGCCCTGAATCCTGCCGAGTATTTTCTCAGCGCGCTATTCCCACGGGGCATTTTGTTCGATGCTGACTTGTTTATTGCCGGTCTCTCCATTTCCAGAATGTGGGCCCGTGGGCAAAATCTTCGTCTCCACTGTAGACTATGCTGCGCGCAGGAGATGCTCAATAAACACGGAGCCGAGTGAACAGAGGTCCGACACAGGAGCCGGAAGGAGCTTGCCCCAGCTTCCTGGGTGGGACCAGGGCTCAGCGGCCGAGAGGCGGGGTCACGCCACCCCTGCTGCACTTAGTAGGACCTCACTTGGCCCTGTTCCCGGCTCCGGCTTGCTTACGGGTGGTGTGGCCGGTCCACTTCCTGGTCGGTTCTGCACTGGCCTCACTCTCTTTGCGGGTGTATGTGTGCCCTGGGAGTAGACCCCTGAAGTATCGTGCGTGTGCACGTGCACGGGCGTGCACACACGTGCCTGCGGTCGTGTGGAGGGAGGAGCTACTGACCGCACAGCAGCCAGGCTCGGTGACAGACTTTGCTCTGCATGAGAGGCACGGCCCGGGCTCCGGCACGGCCCTTCCTCCTGGCCCTTCTGGGAATTTGTTTATTTAGAGGAGACGGAGATTCTTTCTCATATGATTCTGAAGCCCTCTGACCCACTCTGGCTTAGAAAGCAGGAAGTGGGCTGAGTGTGGAAACCGTCCTGAGAAGGAACAGACATTTTTCCCTTTTATCTTGCAGCCCCGCTGCCCCCTCCTCCCCAGCTAATCGGCCTCGGAATGGAAACTAATCATCGTGGTGACCAGTCAGCCATCTAGTCCAGCAAACATGTGCACAGTCGGAGTGGGTCTGGTGTGGGCAGGGACCCTGGGCGTCCTCCTCTGCGCCCAGTGGCCTGGCATACAGCAGGCGCTCAATACTTGTTGAATGAGCGGATGACTGTGGGCCAGGTCCTGCCCTAAGAGCTTGGGACTCGGGCAGTAGAGGGACCTGCGCCCTGCCCCACTCAGCCATGTGGATCCCCTGTTCGAAGCCACTCTGAGCAGCACGGGGACACTCATGTTCAAGTGCTTGGAGCAGGTGCCGGGCTGCCGAGCGCTGCTGTTTGGGCCACGTGCGGCCCCGGCTCACTGCCGTTGGGCAGGAGAAAGGCGTCTTTGAGGAAGCGAGAAGGCACCTGGTATGCCTGGCCCTGTGTCCAGGCGAAAATCTGAAGGCCACTGCCGCCAAGGCCCCGGCGTCCAGTTTCATAAAGCAGAGGGGGCAGCGACACGCTGGTCTCCAGGAGACCCGGGGCCTCGAGGCAGCACGGGACCCAGTCAGCCAACCACGAACAAGGGGTAGGGGGCAGAACGTGAGTGCCACCTTTGAGGGGCCACACGAGTAGGGCTGTTCTCAAAGACGCACTCCCTGTTTGCTGCGCGTTTGGGACTTCCATGCACACCACGGCTTCTGGGCAGGCGCCCAAGAGAAGCCACCATGAGACAGCCGTGGAGCGATGACGGACGGCTGCTGGGGAAGGCCTCCTGGCCCTACCAGGCACAATTTAGCATGTCCTCGGGACCCAGCGATTCCACAGCTAGGAATTTGTTCTACACACATGTGAGGATATTAACTACAGCAATTTGTGGAAGCAGAAACCTGCTAAATGTCCACCAACAAAGGACAAAAGGAACACAGTGGAATTCTATGCAGCCGTATAAAAGAATGAGGTCAATCTCTATATACTTATTTGAAAAGATTTTTTGGGAAAAAACAATTTGCAGAATATGTATGGCTTATACCATTATCTTGCAAAAAAAAAAAAATCTGTTAGATAAATATATGATATATAGGTTTGCGTGCGTTTGCATTTATAAATAAAATTTTCAACAACCCCATGAGGTGGTTGGTGACTGTCATTACTTCTGCTTTCCAGACGAGGGAAGGAACTGGCTCAGAGTAATCTGCTGAGGCCACAGTGTCTGAGAGGAGGAGCTGGGATTAGAACATGGGCAGACCCAGATCCAAGCCTGGTCTACAACCACCGCACGTCACGACTGTCTAAGCATGTGGCAGGTTCTGCGAGGAAGAGGTCTGAAGGCACACGTGCCTGTTGACGGCGCTAACCTCTGGTGACCGTGGTCAGAGAGGCAGGTCTTCTGCTCTTCTACTGATACATCTCCCATAAGCAAGGATGATTTTTGGAACTTAGAATATTTTCAAAAGCAACAAAAGCCCCACTGGGCTCTTCCCTAGCACGTCCTTCTGGGAGCCCAGGCCTGGGCGGGCACTCACCTCTTGGCTGCTCAAGGAAATATCGGTGTGGATGGGTTCTATCTGCACCGAGATGTCACACATCTGGGTAGGATTCCTGGGCTTCTGTTCCTTCTCTTTGTGCAGTTGGAGTTTGGGTTTCTCTTGGGAGACCCTAGGGTAGAGCACAGGAGTCACCGGAGTCAGGGTCCGGGAACCATGAATTACCTTTGTATCCCCCAGCAGAACAGGACAAGAAACTCCATTAGGTAGTTGAAGTTTTCAAGTCTCCTGTCCACAGATGTCTAAAGAATTTAGCTTCATGGGACTTGCAGGAGAGTGGCCAGGGCAGGAGATGCCTGCCTGCCCTTGCTTCCTGCACTGGGTCTGTGGGACACTTGCTGTGTCACTTACAGGGGCATTTACTATGTATCTGCTTTTCCTAATACTCCTATGTGTTAGTCCTTCTATTACCCATAACAATCGCATGAGCTGGCCCATTTTGCAGACAAGGACAGAGACGCACAACAGTTGACCTGTGGTCGTGAAGCTTGTAAGTGGAAGTGTGTGGCTTTGAACCTAGGCAGCCTGGGTCTGGATCTTGTTTGTTTAACCACTACGTGAGTCTGTCTTGCCGTGAGCCATGAGGCACACGAAGCTACAGGGTATACATACGTATGACGTCAATTTTACTCAAACTTCCTTGGCGAAAACATTCCTCTTATGTCAAAATATGGATAAGCTATGGATGAAAATGCAAACTCACATGTATTTTTTTAGATGAATCCATGGGACGAGGATATTTTATGTTTATTTTAAGCTGACCTCTGACACTCCCCAGTTCATACATTTGTTTAATAAACATTTATTAAGTTCTCTGTGTGCCAGGCACTGTGTGAATACTGGGAATCAATACCAGGCAAGTCAATAGACTCTGTCCTTGTGGGGAGGGCAGACAATTAAACAGGCATAAACACAGTCTGACTGTATGAAAAGCGGTAGGTTAGGCAAAGTGCTGAGGGGCCCCGGGCAGAGCAGGAGCCTTGTCTACGTTTGGTGAGTGTGAGTACCACAGGGCTTCCTGGAGGAGGTGGCATTTAAACTAAGAACTGTCATCTGGAATATTGTGCAGGAATGTTTGAGAAGCACAGAACTAAGCAAAGTTCTGTTTTAACTGACGAGGCTGTGAAACAATGACACACATGTCATTCATTCATTCATTCATTCATTCATCCATTTATCCATTCAGTTCTTCATTCAGGATTCACTGAGCTCCCTCTTTCTGTGCAAGGTTCCTTGGGTACTTGGGTGTGCCCGGCCTCCCCCGCCACGCAGACACTCCACACACCTGAGTGCCTCCTTGAAGACCTCGAGCTCCCTGTCCTTCTTTTCCATCAGGCTGGTCACGTGCGCCATCCTTTCCTTGAGCACACTCAGCTCGTTGTTTTGTCGCTGGACCAGGGCCACGTTCCTTTCCAGTTCTATCTTCTGCTTCTCGTTAAGCTCTCCTGAGAGCGACACGAAAGCTGGTGAGGGAGTGTCCCACCTTGCGTCTCTGCTCGGGCCATGGCCGATCTGCCAGGCCCCCGAGAACCACGAGGCAGGTCTACCCTCCAGGAATTCCTAGGGGGCTCCACTCACAGCCAGGAGGTCTGCTCGCGTCTTAGCAAACAGCAGCAAAACAGCACGCAGGCGTTACCTTTCAGCGAGTGCCAGCTCTGTGAGGCGCCATGTGCTCCTGCTTTACCCCGGTGTTACAATGGCAGATGCTCTGCTCACGTGTCTTCCAGGTGCAACAGCCTCCAACCCATGACAGGTGGGGGCGAGTACACAGCCCAGCTCCCCTCAAGGGGGTGACCCAGAGGTCTGAACTCAGAGTCATCTTGCCCTACTCTAGGTGGCCCCAAGGTCCATATCGACCCTAGGAAGCAGGTGCGTTATAGGAGGTTTCCCATCAGAGGAAGGACACCTGGAGAGGGTAACTCGCCCTAGGCCCCGAAGCTGGTGGCTGCCAGGGCCCGCGCGGGCTGGCCTACTCCAGGAGGGAGCTTTTGCCCCTAGAGACAAATCCTCCTCAGTGGTAAAAGGGGACTCTCCCAGAGCCCTCTGAGAATGTTCCCCCGGGGAACATCAGGAACCAGTGCCGCGGCCAGGATTCAGCTTGCGCTGACCCTGAGTTCCAAGCTTCGAAACAGCCCCGGAAAGCAGATCGGGGGGCATTTCTAACGCCGAGCATTCCAACTCCCTAAACCCCGTTTCTTTCCTTTCTGGAAGCGGGTCAGGAAGAGACAAAGGTCATAGTAGTACAAACCTCTCAAATCCGACATTCGGCCATGAGCTTCCGTCAGGTTTTTCCTTAAGTTCATGATGACCTCCTGCTGAGACAGGATTTCCTTTTGAGCACTCAATAAATCCTCTCTGAAATTCACAAAAAACAGGCAAAGTCAGGCCAACTCAGTCTCCGCCGTGTCCTGAGTGCCAGGAAGGGGCCCAGTGTAAACGCAGAGTGATACTCGGTCAGTGATGGCCCATGCGGCCCCAGCCCCAGCAAGGGGGATAAGCATGTGCGTTGAAATTCTCAAAACAGGCATTCATTTTGAGGCACCGTCACTACAAAGAAATATATTGAGATAGAACAAAGGATCCCGTCTGTGTTCTGTCTGAGGTTGAAATATGAGTTGCATGAAGGTGACACCTCTTTCTGCCCAAGTATCTGTCAGCATGAATTGATGTGTTTGTAGACTTTTGATCTTGGTGGAAAGAGAGGGAAGATTATTTTTTTTTTTTTGTGGGCTCGGGGATTCTTTGAAGACGAGGAAGAAGGAGAGAGGACAGCATAACTTTTGTTCACTCACCAGCTCCCTTCAGTTCTCGATGGGGAGAGGTGGGGCCGGAAATGAATGAATGGTGTTCACGTGACCCTTTGTGGCAATGCGGGCTTTGGGGACCAGATAACTGGGGCGGGGGTGGGGGGAACAAAGGGAGGGTGAGATGATGACAGCTTCTCTGCCCACCACGCCCCAGGGGGCAGGACATCCTTGGCACTAGGAGGCCCAGAGTGGTTGACAGGGACAGCTACATCCAGTAAGGGGTGTTCTGTGGGAAGGGGCCCAGAGTAACAGGTGGGGTTTAAGTGGGAAGAACATGGGGTGCATTTCTGAGCAAGTGTGGGACACCTCAGACCTGAGGAAGGCATGTCGTGTGTGTGTGTGTGTGTGTGTGTGTGTGTGTGTGTGTGTTGGCAGGAGGAAGAGCTGAGGTCTTGCACATTGATAGGGGTTAAGGGCCTTCGGGCAGGAATAAATGTCGCTTCATTTGAGTTCACGGGCTTCTGAAATCCAGGCTCCTCTTATATAGATTATTAAGGTAGAGTGTATGTATATTATGAAATAGAGCAAAATACTGGCAGGTCACATGTTGAAATAAAAAGATTGGTGATCACTGGATTGAGAATAAATATATACGTGTACACATATACACGTATGGGTGTGTGTCTATCATCTATCAATCATCTATCTATCTTATCTATCATCTATCTATCAATCTAATCTATCATCTATCTATCTTATCTATCTATCTGGTCTCCTTGGCTATAACTCTTCCAACTTGAGGATGAAACTTTAAGACTCAAGGGTGTATACAGCTAATGAAGGCGAACAGAGGAGAGTGATGTGGGTGCTGACCCTTCTCCTAGCCACAGCTACTGTTGTCTGTAGAGCACATTCTACCAGCAGGAGTCACTTAGGAATTTTTCAAGATGTGGAGGCTGGGTATCTTCGCCTTTTGGGGGCTGACAAACCCTATGACATTTGACTTTGGCAGCTGAAATCTAGTGTGAGGATCATCAGGCCTGCGGTTCGTCTTCTTTGAGAATCTCGCATTAGCCCCTTCTCGTTTACGTGCTGCCTGGCAGTGGCCGTCCCAACCGTGGGGTGCTTTGTTTGGAAACTGTCAGTTCCTTGAGGCTCAAAGGTACAGACTTTTGGGTTGGGAGGGATCTCCAAAGTCACTCGATCCAACCTCTTCACTTTGAACCCTCTCTAGGACCCCTTCGCCAAGTGGTCTCCACTGTCTGAAACCTGCACCGTCTGCCTGCCTTGAGCAGGTACTTGGGAAACACAGCTAATCGTGGTATTGGCTTGCATTCACCGAGCGACTTCTGTGTGCCCTGCATGTACCTCCTTATTCCATAAACGAGGACGCTAAGGTCCAGCGAGGTGATGTGACTCGCCCAGGGACACACGACTGGAGAGTGTTGACTTGGGTCCACCCACATTTTTCCATGACACCCTCCTGACTTGCTAAAAAAAAAAAAAAAATCGAGAAATTCAAAGAACAGTGAGAAGACTCCAGATTCAATTCCCATTTTCAGATTCCGACAACATGCCAAAAGCAGGGGTTGTGTGTGTTTGTCCTTGCTCACGGGGCACGTCAGTGAGGGTGGCTGGTGCTCACACGCCCTCCGGGTACTCACATCAAGTGGTCACACACTGCGCCTTTGGAACTGCTTTCCAGAGGCGGTGCTGCGGGAGGGTCCTGCTGTACTTCCTTCTCCTGGGCTGAATCAGAGGGACAAGGGGACAGTATTACAATCCTCGTGCAGTGGATGCTTTCCCACCCTGTTGCTTATCACCTTGTCGACACGCTTACATCTTTCTCAACTTATGAACTCTCCCTGTACCCTTCAGCCTTCTCTACCTAAGGGGACCCAGCGTGAGTTCTGTGTCGTAGGCTGGCGGGACACCCCCACCCCCGCCACGATGAGCTCATGCAGTCTTTCCAGCTACTGCACAAGGCAGGGACTATCAACTCCGTTTGCAGGTGAGAAAGTGGCCGCAGGAGTGACAGAACCTGCTGGTGACCACTCGGCAGACGGGTGCGAGGCGGAGCCGTCACCACCGGGTCACGCTTCCTGCCCCGTTTCTTGCTCTCTGCTCAGACGAGAGTCTTGACCTGTCCTCGCCTCTCGCGTATCCTTCGTTCCCCGGCCTCTGGCTTCTAGCCTCATCGCTCGCTCACGCATTCACCCGTTCGTTTAGTCATGTGACAGTTCTCATGAAATGTCTGCGTGATGGCAGGCACTGATCTAAGCGTAAGGCGACAAAGATGTGTCACTCTTGAGGTCCCAGCGTAAGCATCCTCCCTCCGAGTTGGTCCTGGATTGGGAAACTGAGTCCCACTCCATGCCCTTGCCGTGGTGCCCTGTTCACCCTGGATCATTGGTTGGGGCAGTAATTGAGTTAACTGCAGGGGTCCTGCCTGGCTTGCCCGTCATTGAATCCTCAGTGCCTAGGATGAGCTTGAAACATTAGAGATGCTCTGTTAAGAGTGGTGCCTGAGTGTATGCGTGTGGTGAGCCCTGACAGCTCGTCAGCTGGCTTGAGACTAGGACGATGCTGCTCAACCAGGGGCGAGTCCCCTGGGGACACTGACAAAAATGTTTCCAGACATTTCTGGTTGTCACCCTAGGGTGAGTGGGGGCTGCTACTGGCTTCCAGTGGGTAGAGGCCAAGGATGTTGCTCATTACCCTGCAGGGCATGGGACGGCCCCACAATAAAGAATGACCTGGTACCAAATGTCAACGTTGCTGAGGCTGAGAAACCCCGGCCTGAGGCCTCTCTTTCCAGAACTCTTATCCAGGTAAACAGAGTTAATGATCCCTGCCTTATAGAGCACCTCTCCAACTAGCTAGTGTCTTTGCCACAAGATGCACGACCCTGGTCATTTAGGGCAAATAAATGCTCGCTGCTCTGAGTTCTGCGGCAGCCTCTTTTGAGTTTATCTTTCAAGAAGCAAATCCTGGCTGGTTATGAAAGTGCATTAGGCAAAGTCGCAAACTGCGGATGGCAGAAAGACGCCTTTGAAAGGCCCCTGCCTGGAGGTTTCCACGTAGCAAAGGTGATGATGCTCTGACCTGCTGTTCCGACGGCCCTAACATCCCTGGCAGTGTGTGCGACTTGCCGGCTGACTGGCTGGGCACAAAGGGTGTCCGGGCTCATTGCTGTTAATTCTGTTCAACCTGGGCCTTGAAGGGCCCTAACCTTGTGTATAACAGGAACAAAAGGGGGCTCCAGGGAGTAAGTGAGCTTTTCAATCAGCAAAGCCCTTTTCTTACCCGTCAGCCTGTGGGGACCCACAGGACAATCAGAACCTGCCCCCAATACCAAGATCTCCTCGTTGTCTCTTTGGACCAACCTGGGTCATTGTCCTTCAAAGTTGCAATCTCTCCTTCTATTTTCTTATGGTGTTCGGTCACTTTTTGGAGTCTTTTTTCTAGACTCACGATCGTCTGGGAGTGCTGTTTGATTTGCTCCTTGTATTCCACGATTTCTTCTTCAAATTCGTGTTTCTGTGATTTCTGTTCTTCTTGGAGGGCCTTGATTGCCTGCTGCTGCAGCTGCATCCGCCCCTCCATCATGATCTGGGAAAACAGAAATGATTCATGCAACCTGGGGACTATAATAACATGCCTTTGCACACACGGGCACTGAGCTGGGTCCTACCCCGGGGCCTTTGCACGTGCTGTTCTCGCTGCATGCTCCCCTAGCTCCTCGCATGGCTGACTTCTTGTATTTCAGGTCTGAGTTCCAATGTCACCTCCTCAGAGAGGCCCTCAGAGCAGCCCAAGACCCTTCCCATTCCATCACCCCTGTTTTGTTTTCACTGAGGCACGGATCACTGTCTGAATTATCTAGTTTATTTCTCGCTCCCACTAGAATGTCAGCTCTGTGAGAGCAGATGCTTTTCTTATTTACTGATATAGCCACAGCATTAGTGCTTAGCTCCCTGCCACAGCATCTAGGCTTAGATGTTCAGTAAATATTCACTGAACTAATGAATGAACAATTTTCTAGGAAAAAAGTAAATCAATTTGTATTTCTTAAAAACTAGAAATTACCAGTGATCCTAAAGTGGCGACTCGGACCCTTTCCTTTGACAGCCCGCTCCTTCCTGCGGCTCTTCTGGATGCTTCCATCTCAAGGCCTCGTCCTCGTCCCCTCCCGCTTCTCCAACCAGCCTTCTCCTGCTCTCTAGTATTCCCAGCTGACGTGCTGGGCCTCCGTCTTCACCTCCCCTCTGATGGGTAAATTCTTTGCCTGAGACGCTCACACACGCCCGCTGTTTCAACAATCACGTCCACGAGGCTGTCTTCCAAATTTAGGTGACTTATCTCGCTTTCTCCCACAAACCTATTGTACCACCCAAAGTTTGGGATGCTTTTGAACATCCATACCCCGTACCCTCGCCTCAGTCTAAACTCTTCACCTCCTCTGAAAGAGAGTCCCTATCCCTGTTCACCCTGCCCTCCCCGCCCCACCTTGACCTCCGTATTTCCATCAATACGCCACCCACATGCCGTCATTCCCCGAGGTCCCTTGGCTTGAACCTTGCCTGTCTCCTTGGCGCCTACTCTCCTTGGTACTCACGTCCTGTTAATCAGTTATTAGGTCTGCCATTGCTTGTAACTCTCTCTGCAGAGACTCCTTCTTTCCCACCCCTCTGTCTCTTCGAATGTCCTGGTCCTTATGATTTTGGACTATGGCCATGGCTACCACGTGCCACGCCTGGAGCTGGTGTCTCCAACTCCAGCCCCTCTCAAATGCATCTTTGTGTACTTCCGCCAGATTCACCCTCATTACCTCCTGTTGGCTGAATGTATGCATGACAGACGAGAGCAATATTACGCCCTGATGGTGGAGGGCCTTGAACACCAAGCTGAAATGTTAAAGTCTACAGAACTGTCACTGATCAGTAAATTCTGAGGCTCCTCAGTCCTTCAGCCTGCTCCTGTGAGGGCCCTGTATCCCAGCATCTTAGAATGTCCTGGAGAGAGAGCATCATGGCCTCTGTTCACCTTTCATATGAAACCAGTGCTTTTCAATAGAGGCTGAGTTTGCCGCATCCCCCCGCCGCCCTCGCCAAGGGACATCTGGCAAAGTCCGAAGCTGGTTGTCAGCACTGGGTGGGAGGGATGGAGCTATCTATCCAGTGGGTAGATACCGGGGACGCTGTGAAACATTCTGCAGGGCACAGGACGGCCCCCACAGGAAAGAGTTATTTGACTCAGAACACCAGCGGTGCCAAGGCCGAGAACCCCAGTCTGAACCCCACGCTCTCACGGCACTGTGCTCTTGCCCCGACAGAAAGATCCTCTCGTCCCTTACCATTTTAGTCTTGGCCGTCTCCAGTTCAGCTAATGTTTCGTTTAATTTCATGGTGACGTTCTCTGCTTTCAGACTCTCGGCCATCTTTATTTTTTCTGTCTCTTCCACCATGGCCAGTGCGTCATTTAATTTGTTATTTAAAACATCTTCCTTTAGCGCTTTTAAATCTATTTCCTAGGCGAACGATAAACATCAAGTTAACCAAAATTCGGGCATAAATATTTACTCTAGCCTCCCCTTCCTGTTTTCAGACAGGTGGTGAACTCTATTCTGTTATTGTTCCATCGATCCTTTTTAAGGCCAAAGTCCATGCTTTCTCCGGAAGGTTCCAGTGACCACAGAACTCTCGATTATATTCAGTTGACATCTGTCCCCTTGTGATTTCTGGTCTCTGAGCTCAGTTCTGTCAGCTGGAGCTCATTGAGTCAGTTTTATTCCTGTTTCATGAGACAGCCCTTTAAATATTTGAAGAGGGATGTCATGTCTCTCTCTAAATCTGTTTTCCAGGATAAATGTGCCGAGCTCCTTCACCCTTCGCCACAGGACTCGCCTGCCTTTAGGACACTCCTCCGCCTTCCCCAGGGGTGGCCTCGGCCCTGGGGTGACCTCCCCTTCACCCTCGGGTTCCGCCCCCGCCAGCAAGGCTGGACTCTGGTTGCCACGCCATGTCCTTGCGTACCCCGTCCCTCCCTCCCAGAACCCCTTCTTCCAATCTTTTGACTATCAAAATTCCATCCGCCCTCCCACATCCCTCCTCCTCAGTGGGCTTCGTGACACTGTGCTGGGGGCCTTACGAACTTCGTTCCTTCGTTTGACTTTATTACTATTTTTTTTATATCAGTTTTAGGTTCACAACTGAGGGAAAGGCACAGAGATTTCCCACGTACCCCTGACCCCAACACGTGCACAGTTTCCCCCATTATCGGCACCTCCCCCCCGACCTGACAGTATGTTTGTTACAGTCCAGGGACCTACGCTGACACGTAATAACCACCCAGAGTCCACACTTTCCACTGGGGTTCACTCCTGGTGTTGTACATTCTGTGCGTTTGGACAGATGTATACATGACATGTATCCACTATTAAGGTGTCATGCAGAGGAGTTTCACTGCTCTAAAAATCCTCAGTGCTCTACCCATTCATCCCTCTGTCCCACCAACCTCTGATCTGCTTTTGTCTCCATAGTTCTGCCTTTCCAGAATGCCACACAGTTGGAATCATACAGCATGTTGCCTTTTCACAAACATTATCTAATCTAACCTAAAAATACGTCCTTGAGACTCAGTGCTGGTGTTCTCTGTTGGTGGCAGTGTAAATGGTATGACGTATCCGGGGTGGGGGTGAGGGGACATTTCGGAACATGTATCGTGAGCCTGCAAATGTTTCTACCTTGTGACCCAATAATTCTACTTTGGAGAATTTATCAAAAGGACACGGCCCCACGCGTGCACAAAGACTGATGCACAGGGGTGTTCGGTCAAGCAACTTTTACTCGAGTGAAAGTTGAGAAACAGCCCCAGGGGAGGACCATAGGGGAGGAGTAGATGAATCTGGGGTCCACTCGACACAGCGTAAACCCAGGTCACCTCTCAATGGCAGTTTGTAGAAGGATATTCGATGACACGGAAATGTTTTTGTTACATATTAAGTAAAAAAGGAGAGACCCAATTAGTGTGCACGACATGAGTGTGAGTCACTTTGTAAGAGATCAGTATTTGTTGATGTCTATAATAATAAATATAATTAATAATTAATAATCAATAATCAAGATAAAGATGGTCTGGAAGGAATCGCATCAAAATGCACTGGGGTAACTGTTCAGTGGAATCAGAGGCAGTTTTCGTTTTCTTCTGAGTGATTTTCTATAGTTTTCAAATTTTCTAGAGCAAACAGGTCCTCCTTTTATAATTAGGAAGGGACACTGATATTTTTCTTTGAAAATAAAAAACCAAAAATTCCATTTTCATCCTGCGATGCCCACAAACCTCACCTGGGGTCACCTCATTCTCTCTGTTTTACTACTGAACTCCTGATTTTTTTTGGTGGGGGGAGGTGTCTCAACATCACTGTTACTGTCGAGAAATATGCCGACACGGCCTAAGGAGAGACTCACTGGGGACTCTGGCAGGCATCCCACGGAGCAGCCTGTCACCTACAGCTCACAGCGAGACACTCCAGGTGTCCTGGAGAATCCACGACTAACCGAGACGGTTTCTCTGATGAGCCATGAGGCTGTCTAAGGGCTGAACGTGCCACCTGGCACCTGCTCCTTGCCAGCTACTCAGCAGCTTACTCAAGGATAGCAGAACAAAGTTCATTGGTATGGATCTTTCTTCTCCACTTTCTTCTCCTTCTTTCATATAAATCCTATTTTTGCCTGTGTAGGTGAAATCAATCTCTTGACAGCTCTTCCCTGTATACAGATCAAACGGCATGCAAATAAGTAACTCTGTCTGAGCGGGTCTTTGACCTTGTACTTCATTGGTGTTTCCTGGGACATGGGGAGTCGCTGGGGTGGAGATCTCTTTCTCCTTGTCTGGAGTGATGCCACCAGCCTGCCTTCAGGGCTGTCACAAGACTTGCTCTCTGATGTCACCACTGTTCTAAGGCTGTTGTTGGGGACACTTGGTTGCATCACAGGGTTCTCTAGATGATGATCCTTAGGAGACATTTTCTCTGGGTCGAGTACCAAGAACAGCTCAGTTTCCACGAGCAGGTGGTCCACTTCCGTCCATGAATTACACAACCAGCTGGGCTCCTCCTTTCGCTGTAATTGCTAGAATAAAAACTATGACCCATTCGTTGATTTCATGATACACATTTTTTTTTTTTTTTGCTTTAGTCTCATTCTTGGTCCATTTTATGCCCTAATTAATCTACTTTAAAAAAACTTAACTTCTTCTTTTCTTGTACCCCTAACCGAAGTATTTCACGGAAGAGCCCATGGTAAATCATTCGGGGGAACGAGGCTGCTTTTCTCGGGTTCCCTCTCAGCCTGCCGGTCGTGCCTGTGTGCAGGGAGCCCCCAGAAGCTGGCAGGTCTTGCTTCACCTCCCCCGAGTCTGGTCTGCCTCCCCTGAGCACACTCCAGTTGGCTGAGGCACTCTTCCAAGGTGCCCAGGGCTGTATGTAATCCAGACGTGGCTTACTGACTCTCATCTCTCTAGTCTCCCTCGAGCGGCGATGTTCCAGGTGTACCAGCGCTACCGGGACTGTTGTTAAAAATGCAGATTCCTGGACCCACCCTATAGACCACCAGTCAGAACCTCCGGGGGTGGGGCCCCAGAAATGGGCCATTTAAAATTAAATTCCCTGGTGACTCTGTGCATGCTAATGTTTGGGAAACTTTATTTAAAGAAAATGATCTAAGACTGATGTGAATAGACCCTGTTAGTCCCATTCGGTCTTGAAAAATCTTTTGAAATTGTGTTTACCTGCGTTTAAATTTAACCCGCTATTGTCAGGTTGTGTGTTTACTAATTGCTTTGACTTTTGAGATAGCGGCCATTGCGTGTGTGTGTGTGTGTGTGTGTGTGTGTGCGTGCGTGCGTGTGTGTGCGTGTGCGTGTGTGTCCCTTGTACTGTTGGGACCCAGAAGAGAAGAGGTGAATTCATCCTACAGCTTGGACGCCAGGCAAGGCTGTACGACAGCTTTTTACCCCCACGGCATCTACTACTCCTAGTAATAATCGTAAACGAGGTTTGATTATGAAGGTGCCTGTATCCTGACACCCCCTCTTTCACCCCAGGCAGCTGAGCCCACATAAATAAAGCTCAGGGATAGCAGAGAGAGGTGGGAGGGGTGATGATGAAGGGCTTGGGAGTCAGACAGTCCCGGGTTCAGATTCCGCACCCCCACTCCCGTGCTGTGAGCTCATACTCATCATCATAAAGCCGCCAACGCACACGGCATTCACGCAGTGCCGGGTACTTTTCCGTGGGTTTCACGTGCACATTAACAATCAAGCCTTGCCACTCGATGAGATTGCTCTACTGGTATTATTGATGTTTCGTAAGTGGGGAAACCAAGGCACAGAGGTGGTAAGTAAGCTGCCTAATGTCCCACAGCCAAAGAATGGCAGGGGTGGGATTTGAACCCAGACCGCCGGCCTCCTGAGCCAGTTCCTCTGCGCCATGTGGGGCTCCTCCGGGTCCTTCCTCCCTGAGACTCGTACCTCTTTTTGCTTGGTTATGCGGTTCTCCAGATCTTGCACCTTTTTCTTTTCCTTCTCGATGGCCTCCGTCGCTTTGTATTTCTCATAGGCGATGCTGCTCTCTGAAACCTGGAAGTCAACGAGTGGTCTGAGAGCTTGCCCACGAGAAAGGGAGGGAATCGACCGTGCGGAGGGAAGCCAGGATTAGCAATCGTTGAAACCAGTGACTCAGGGTTTGGGAGCAAGAGCTCAGGGAACAGGACGCCCATGGGAGAGAGCGGTGACATTCTTGGCGTGCCCACCACGAGAGCCCGGAATTCACGTCTCAGTGAGTCATGTGCATGAAAGAGAGTTATCTGTCATTCAAGATTTCTGGGCTGGCGTTCAGGAAGTGACATGCTGGTGAGTGTCCGGGTCAAGGCATTTGATGACGAGCCACTGAATAAACTGGCATGTGCTGGCACTAATCTGGCTTCTTGGGACCTGGGGCAGGAAAGGCAGTGTGGGAGAAGACACCTCCTGTCCCAGCAGACCTGATACTTCAAAGGACACTGGTGGTCTCTCCCCCGTCTACAAAGGCTTGAGTCCAAAATTTGATGTCCAGGACAGTTTGGAACTGAGAACACATGCCCCACGCCCCCACAGGTCTGGTGATGTTGGGAGGGGGTTGGAGCCCAGCCTCACCTACCCCCGCCCCGGGAAGGGTGCAGCCAGAGTGGGATTGGAAAAGTCCATTCGCAGCTGTCAACTTTATATGTGCACATATAAAGTTCACAAGAAAAATATTTTAAATCTATGCATACGTGCTCAGACAAAAACACTGGAGAGAGGTGATTATCCACCAGGATGTAAACAGTGGTTATTTTGGGGGGAGTTAGGATGATGGCAATTTACATTTTCTTCTTTTTCACTAGTCTGTATCCTCTACATTTCCTTTAGTGAACGTGCATTATTTGGCAGAAAAAAAAACTCCTAGAAATTGTTATAGGGAATGCTCTGCTGGGAGGTGGGAGGTGGCTTTGGGGATGCGTGGCCTGAGGAAAATCCCAACAGCCCCGCTGCATGAGCACGGGCCTCCATCCCCCGCTCTGCTCGGCTTGCCGGCCTCCCCACCCACTCAGGCTCTGACTCACCCCTCTGCACCAGCTTGGTATTTTCCTACTGCCAAGTCTGCTTAAGATCATCCAGTCCCCACCCTGCCAGTCTGCGTCCTGCCTGAGGAAAGAGGCCCCGTGGGGAGGGCTCCTGCCCTTTGCTTATGACTCACTGCTTGATACATTAGAAATGAAGATAACAACAATGTTACTGACCACTCTTTGAATGCCTGCAACGTGAGCGCCTGGCACCCTGCACTGGATGCATGAGTGCGTCTAATCTGTAAACCCCCAGAAAGCATCTGCCCAGTTATTCTCATTTTACAGGTGAGGACGAGAGGCTGCAAGAAGACGAGCCATGTGCCAAGGTCACGTGCCAGAAAGTGGTGGTGCAAGCTCGGATGCCAGCGCACTGTCCTAAGCTCTCTGCCATCGACCTCTGGACCCTGCCTTACCCGTCTTCCTGATGCAAACCCCACCCCACCCAGAGGCAGGAGACATGCTTATATGTTCATAGTTAGGTTGGCACAGAGTCTACTATACCGCCCAGCAGGAGCCCGAGCTTCAAGGCTCCACCCCTGGTCCATCTGCATGAGGGACGCTCTGGGGACAGCCACTGACCATAGTTTGGGTCCTACCCCTTCATGAGGCTTGTTCTGTATGATATTCCCTCAACCCCCTGGACTCTGACCTCACTTTCTTACATGGGCTGGCACAGTCCCACTGCCAAGGTCTTGCTTGACTGTCCAGTGCATCCCTGCCCCGCCCGCCCGCTGCTATTATACACCATTCTCCCTGCCTCACCTGGACTCTGATGTCACCTGGGTAGGTGATTCACAATGAATGCATTGACTCCTCACAACAAACCTCTAAAATGGATTTGTCACCACACTCACATTACAGATGAGGGCACAGAGAGGGCAAGGAGCTTGCCTGGGGTCACACAGCATGTTAGGGCAGAACTGGGATTTGAACCGGAATCGACGCTGTTAGCCCATCAAGCTCTCCTGCCAGGCTTTGCTTCTCAAACTCTGTGTCTTCTTCCCTCTTTCTTGTTCTATCCTGATTTGCCTTCCATCTGGTTCCCGCTTTAATCGCATTCCACGTGCCCCCATCACTGTGCCCCTGGCTAACTCAGGTCCCTGTCCACTGCACTTGGCTATTTTATCCAGTGACATTCTCGTCTCCCAGATGTTCCCTTGGTGCTCCCGCTCCCCTCCAGATCACACTCGAATGTCACCTCCTCAGAGAGGCCCTCCCTGCTTGCAGGCCGCTCTCTAACTCGCCCCTGTGGAGTCATCCCGTGCATTTGTGTACGTGGTTGTGTCTCCCTCCACCTCAGAGTGGATGCCCTGGGAAGGCATGGCCTGGTCGGTCTTGTGTCTTGGGCCTGCCTTTCATGCCAGCTCTGGGCCCAGTCCCTAGGCCGATGGGGGAAGCTGGATGTGGATATCTCTAGCTCTCTCACCGCCCAGGTCCCCCTCTCCTTGAGGGTGTGCTCCTTTCACCCGCTCCGGAAGGCACTGACCCCTGGCACCCTTTTGCTGTGACCACCATGTGGGCTTGTCACGGTCCTGTCTACTCCACCTTACTGCGTGTCTGCGTCTCTCCTCACCTGGCAGTCCAGGGCAGGTCTGCTTGCGAGTGTATGAGACCAGGAGGCGGGAGCCAGGAGGGTGTGTTTTTCTATGGGGACTGAGCTGGACTGCACCATAGGTATCTTCCGATGAGGAGGAGGAGGAGGATGCTGGCTGAGAGAGCGACCCGGACTCCACCCCAGGGCTTCCCTCTTGGGGTGCATCTCCCAGGTAGCTGAGCCTGGAGTGCTTCTGTAGAGGCTCTCTGTGTGGGAGGCGCGGTTCTAAGTACCTCGTTTGTATTAACTCATTGACTCCTAGGAGGCAGGGTCTGTTAACCACTCCTGTTTTACAGAGACGGAGACCGAGGCACGGGAGGCTAAGGGATCTGCCTTCGGTCACACAGCTGGCACGCTGCACGAGGGGATGCTGGCCACTCGGAATGGAGGCGCCGCCCGTGGCTGCCCCCCTGCCCACCACTCTCTCGGGGCACAGAAACACGGCCTCCCACGGGGGCTGTGGCCGTCACAGCCTACCATATCTCTCCGCTCCTCGTACCTCCTTCTGTTGGGTTAGGTGGTTCTCCAGATCTTGAACTTTCCTCTTTTCTGCCTCTAGGGCTTCCTTTGCTTTCCTTTTCTCATAGGCCATGCTGTCTTCCAAAATCTGAAAGTCAACGACCGGTCTTTTTGGTGGCCTGCACGTGGCCTGCACGCTTAGGGCGAAAAGTGCTCATTGTGATGACACCACTAACGATGGGAAGAGCTAACATGTTGGGGGTTGGTCTCACGTGCCCCTGGCCAGCACCTCACACACAGTTACCCCATCGGAGAAGTCGGTGGCCCCATTTTATAGCTGAGGAAACGGAGGGACACGAAGTCGGCGAGAGCCCCCGGTCAGGCAGTGCGCTGGCGCCGAGGCCAGGATTCGAACCCTGAACCCTGCGCAGAGGGCGCACACCGCCCGCATGCAGAGGCCCTCGGCAGGCAGCAGGTGAGCAGACCTGTCTTACTTCGGCGTCTGAGCTCTGATCACTGTGCTAGGCGGCCTCCCCGATAAGAAGGGTCTCATTAATAATGGAATTTCCCATTATTGAAATACATCTCAAAGAGAATCAGGTCTCAAGTGGAGGGCTGTGTAGTGAATTAATGAGCCACAGCATACCAGTTTCTAGAAGGGGCCAGGGGTGAACGTCCCAGGCTCTGATAGGACGTAGGGAAGAAAGCGTGGTTAGGTGCTCGTCATCACGAAATTTTGCCGATAAACTATTCCGTTAAATGGCTTAACAGAATCACCGAGGGATACAAATTCCTGGCAAGCGCCCCGTTTCTAGTCACTGTGAGAAAGGACACCTCGACTTTCAAATGAGCTGTGTTTTAAACACCGGCTTGACCGTCAGATGTCTGGAACTTGGAACTAAGCACCAGTTCTCAGGGTCCCAGGTTAGCCTGCCTAAAGCATCGAATCCATAAAAGGGCTGAAATACTATCTATTTTACGGTGAAAAGTCGTTTAAAAAGCCCCAACACTCAGCTGTCCCAATACCAGCCCTCAGCAAAGCAGAGGGGCATTGTGGGAGTTTCATCATGTATGGTGAACCGTTTGAGGCGGGGTTTCGGGGTTAGACATTTTCCTGTCATTTGTGAAAGAGACTTCCAGGCCCTTTCCAGTGACAGAGTTGGCTTCACCGCATCTGACCTCATATCTACACCAGGAACTTTCCTCTTAGTGGCCCCCTGCACGCCTCACACACATGTCCTGTCACCTCGGCCTCTGTGTTCCCAAGTCCCAAGGCAGGTAATGGGAGTTAACCTTTAACGTTATCTCAAAACCCGCCTTGTGACCCGGGGAGTCTCTTGTCCTTAAAGATTCGTTTGATAATGAGGCAGAAGGTCTAATAAAAGGAAAAAGCAGATCACTGTTTGCGGGTGACGGACATCCGTGTCTGGCTTTTTCTCTCAGATCGCCCTGTCAAGACACCACAAGAGGCTCCACTGGGAGAGGTGGGCCGATATTTCCGAGGCCTCGGGGTGACCCGGCAGGGTATCCCCCACCACGCTTTCCCTTAAATCTCTCTCCTGAAGTCCCCTATGACCCCGCAATCTCTAAATTCAAGGGCCTTCCCCAGCCCTGAGCTTTTGACCTCTGGGTGGTGTTTGGCTCCAGGGAGCCCAAAGGAGACCCTGCTCCTTGTCACCACCCTTGGAGCAATAACTCAGGGTTAGGCCTCAGCGACACTGTTTATAGAGGACTGACTGCAGAGCACAGCTGCGCAGAGACCCCAAGTGAGACCCCGACGCGTAAACATCCCGCCTCCCGACCTGGAGCAGACCGAGCTGCACGGCATCTGCCCAGCTGTCTTCTTCCTCCCCCCGCGGTGGGTGGGCAAGGGTGTCACTCTGAGGAGTGAGGGTGGCTGGGGGTTGAAGCAAACAAGTGTCTAAGTAGGAGTAGTGATAATGATAAAAGCTACCATTCACTGAGAGATAACTTGGGGTCAACGCTTCATGGTACGTTCTCTCTAACCCTCCTAGCCGCTCTTTCACGAAGGTAGGTGTTGCAAGACCTGCTAGGAAGGAGCCAGGAAGTAGCCCAGGGAGGATGCGAACCGTGTCTCATCCGGGTGCATGCCTGCCCTCTTCGCTCCTGTGCTGCCCCAGGATCGAGGAGCTCATGAAAGCACTATGTGGAATAGACTCGGGGATGTGGGGGTGACCACAGGAAAATGTGAGTCGATGATGTAATAGAACTTTCCCCAAAGCTAGTTTGGGCACATCAATAGAAGTATAACATCTTCGACAAGGGAGGGGAGAGTCTTGCCCTAGGCTAGGGAATGGTATCCAGTCCTGGCTTCTATACTTTAGGAAAGAAATAGATGATGGGTTCCCAACTCAGATGCTTACAGAGGCCAGCCAGATACCAAAATGAAGTGGGCTGTGTTCGTGCGTCAGGGAACGGTGAAGACTGTGGCAGAATGCCGCTACTGGATTCAGCTCCAGTCCACTTTTGCCAAGTGGAAACAAAAGCCAGATTTTCTGACATTTTGAGAGAGGATGGAAATCTGGATTTTTCAGTAAATTTTTTTGAATTCAAAATAAAACACTCTAGGGCCCAAAATAACATGTCCACAGGCCCTTTTAGCCAGTGAGCTGCCAATCCGTGACTTCTGGAGGGCAGAGCAGGTCAGAGGAGGGATCCAAGGCCAGGCTCCAGTCCTGTGAGGCACGTAGGAGAAACAAGGCCATTTGGGTCTGGAGAGGAGCAGCTGCCTTTCTTTTCAAGCATCTAAAAAAGATCATTATGTGGTCGAGGAAACAGGTCTTGTAGGAGGCAGAAGGGGTGGGCTATCCTTCTGGGAAGAAGAGTGATTTTTAAGTCAACCTAAAGGAAGAATTTTCTGTCAGCCCAAGGCATCAACCCTGGGATGGACTGCCCTGGGCTGCAGAAGATTCCTTGGTGGTCGAATCAAAGGATGAATGCTTTTAGGGTGTTGCTGGAGGATTCGCATAGCCCTGAAGTCCCGGTACTCTGTAATTCCTCCATCTTTATGCTTCGGGATATAATCTCCATGCAGAAGATGCTCATGTCACAACTTGTCTCCCAAGCCTTATCTATGACTGTATTTTACGCTGCCTACAATTTTTTCCCGTTGGTTGTCAAAGCTACAACTCTGGGGTTCTCTCCTAGAGTCCCCCATGGAGCTGAGCCCTCTCGAGGACAAATTACTCCAGGAAGGCTCCAGCACACGCTGCCCCCCCATCGTCTGTGGTTCTGATCTTACCTCCGTGGCCCTCGAGCCAGATGTGGGCTCGAGGTGACTCTGTCTCCCCGAGCTGCCTACCTCCTTCTGGCGGGTTAAGCGATTCTCCAGCTCTTGGACTCTCTTCTGTTCTTCCTCTAATGCTTCCTTCACTCGGTTCTTCTCTTGCGTAAAGCTTTCCTCCAAAGCCTGAAAGCCAACGACCGTTCTTTCAAAGACATAGTCATCATGGCAGGCACTGCGTGGATATTCACTTCATAACCCACAGCAACCCCCCAGGAGACTGTGGGCAGCTACCGGCCTGGGATCTGGAGTCGGCTGGCCTGGACCAGAGCCCCAGCGGCACGGTCTTGATCTGGGCTCCCGATGACTCTGTCTCCCCGAGCTGCCTACCTCCTTCTGGTGGGTTAAGCGATTCTCCAGCTCTTGGACTCTCTTCTGTTCTTCCTCCAATGCTTCCTTCAGTCGGTTTTTCTCTTGGGTAATGCTTTCCTCCAAAGCCTGAAAGCCAGTGGGTACTGTTTAGTGGACGTAGTTACCATGGCAGGAATGTGGATTCTGTGCCAGGCACCGCCTGGGTGAGTGCTTCACTCCCCACAGTCACAGCCATCCCCCCCCTTCCCCGGAGACGGGGAGGCATGGCCTGGAGCTGAGAACGTGGACTCTGCACGCTTTACTCAGAGCAGGTGGAGAGTTTGTGAAGATTTTGAAGATTTCTTGTTTATTTGGTTTTTTTTCCCCTGGTTTTATTTTCCTCTCTATTGAATGACACCGGCCATCTCTATATTTAATTGTCCTTCGAAATGGACCCACCTTGATTTGAGTCTACTGTTAATACTACCTCTGTGTGGATCAGATGTGATTTTGGTCATATGGTTTTTCCTTTTCAATTTTTTTTTATTCCATAAAAGGTAGAAAGGCAGAGAAAGAGGCAAAGAGAAGAAGAGACGGAAGGAGGAGAGAGATTTCTTGAGGTAACTGGGCACGAAAATAGAGGCTGAGTTGAAACAGGCAGAGGTGTCTGCCTCTTGGAAGGGTCTGGAAAATGTGTGTGTGTGACAGAGAAGGATGGGCTGAGCCGGAAGGCACCGAGCTTCGACGAGTTAAAGATGGAGGAAGTGACAGGTCCAGTCCTCCCTGGGGGAAGGAAAGGGGTGCTGGTGAAGAGTTGGGGTCCAGCGGATCTGGTGCCGCTGCCTTGAGGTGGGTGGGGGTAGGGGCGGCACGCAGTGGCTCTCAGCCGTGGCTGCACCTTGGAACCCAGTGCACCAGCCACATCCTCATCCCGGTTAGATCAGAACCTGAAGGTCAGGGGAGAGGTAGAGAGCAGCCGAAGTCATGAGCCACTGATGCAGGATGATGGCAACAAGCTGTGTTAAGGGTGGAAAATTTTCAAGTGAGCAAACTAGCTAAGTCAGCTACAGGGAAGAAATATCTTTAGATATCAGAAGTTGTCCTACTTGCTTGTGTGTGGTTTAGGAAGTGTATTGTATATGATATGAGTGAAGTCATGAGCCACTGATGCAGGATGATGGCGACGAGCTGGTTAAATTCATGGTGGTCCCCGAACATCAAAAAGGGCCAACTCAAGGACAGTGATGACTATTGGCTCCTTAAATGCTGTTTCCTGGCCTTCTCCAGAGATTCTGATTCAGTGGGTCTGGGGTAGGGTCCAAGAATCTGTACATTTTAAATGAAAATGTGGTCTGCAGACCTGTGCTGTCTGAACCAGCCAGGAGTCTGTTAGAAATGCAGAATCCCAGGCCCCACCCCAGACCTGCTGAGTCAGAATCTGCATATCAGCAAGATCCCCAGGTGAATCTAGGCATCTTTAAGCTTAAGAGGCTCTGATGTAAAGTGTCCTCTCTTTGGTTCGGTTTCTAGAAAAGTGAGTAGCAATTTTGGCCCTTTGTTTTCCCTGATAGGTATAAAGGAAAAGCAAAAGGCTGAAATAAATACATACAAACAGAAAGCAAAAGACAGATAAACGTGCATAAAGAGAAAGCAAAAGACGGAAATAAATATGTATGAACAGAAAGCAAAAGGCTAAAATAATACGAAGTCGGCCTTGCACACTCTCAGAAACAGCCTGTCAGTGACAAACCGGGGCCTGCAGTGATGACTCAGATTTGTAAAATCAACTGCGATATATAAACAAATGAGTTACCATTCCTAGACATTTCAATAACCTTGCCTTTTCAAGTGGATTTTGCTCTGAGTTCTAGAATTCAAGTTCCACGTTCATTCTTCCATCGTTCACCCCGTTTAAATAATTCAGTTCCCTACGCCAAACAAGGAGTTGCTCAGATTTCCCCAGCTAAGCACATGCTCTTAATTTCTCAATTTCCAGTAGTTAGGGAAACGAAAAGGGACCTCACCGCCTTCTCCTCCAGCAACCGCTTGACTCTGCCTTTCAGCTTCTCTTCTTGCTGAAGCCTTTCCTGGTTCAGCTTCTCCTTCTCCGCCAGGTGCTCCCGCATCTTTTCTTGCAGCAAAGACTTCTGAGCTTCCTGAGAACTGTTGATCTTGATCTGAAGGGAGAGGAAAGGACACCGTGGCTGGTGGGGGACAGGACTAAGGAGTCATTTCCACGTTATTTTTTACAAGTTGTTCATCGTCGTGGGGAGGGACCAAAGTTTACACAAAACTTCCTTAAAAACAAAGAGAAATGATGCTTGACCTAGTTACTGGCAGGAAAGCAGTAGTAGTGTAGAGGGGGTATAAGAGCTCAGAGGCCGGATCTAGACAGCATCTCAGCTCTGGTTCTTTCTATATGCTTCTTCATTTAGGAGATGAGGTTAATAATAGTATCCACCTCTTAGCATTTTAAGGATTAAATGAGATAATGATAGGAAGCTTTAAGCACATAGTAGGTGCACAGTAAATGGCAGCTAGAATTATTAGTTATTCTTTGCTGAGTGTAAGCGCAAAAGCAGTGAGCTAGGGCCAGGAGGCTGGAGCTTTCGTCTCGATTCCTCCACCAGCTGTGGGACGTTGAACTTTGATGTCTAGATCTATTAATAAGAAGAATGGACTAGATCAGAGGTTGGTAAACTACTGTCTGCAGACCAAATCTGGTCCACTGCTTGTTTTTATAAATAAAGTTTTATTGGAACAGGGGCATGCCCATCATGCTCATTCATTTTCGTGTTTCCTATGGCTTCTCTTGCTCTGCAGCAGCAGAGTCGAATAGGTGGGACAGAATTTGTATGACCTGCAAAGCCTAAAGTATTTAATGTCTGGTTCTTTACAGAACAAGTTTGCTGACCCCTGGACTAGATGATCTCTGCACCCCACTGTTTGGGTCTTTGACTATGTACGTTGCAGTGCCCCGGCCCCCCATATCTTGCCCCCTGACACTGAACTCAGCCATGTGACTTGCTTTGGCCAATGGGATGTTAGACATACCACAAACGGAGGAGGTTTGGAACACACTCCAGGACTGGGCCTGCTTTCTCTTGCATCTCTGCTAACTGTAAAACGTGCCCACGCCGGCCTGCAGAGTAGAGCTGCTCCAGCTGAGGCCAGCCTAGATCAGCCGAGGGCAGGCCAGCACACAGACACATGAGCAAGCCCATCTGAGATTAGCAGGCCCACCTAGCGGCTGACTCCAAGCACGTGAGCAGTGAACAGTAGTAATTGTGGAATGCCACATAGGTATTGTGGGTGTTTGCTAGACGGCATTATTATGGCAATAACTACTAGGGTGATACAATCCCTAAGGATCATTTTGCCTCTAAAATATTGACATTATGTAACTTTTAGTAATTCTGTTGCCTGTATTATGGCCAGCTATACTTCTTCCACTGCATTTAAGAAACACAGTTTTCAAGATCTGATGCCATTTAAGCCATTTTGGTTTTCAACAGAGGAAAACAAGCCTGTCTGTGCCCCCGCCCTCCTGGGAGATCTCAGCCACCCCGTCTGACTCTTCATGTGCAAACGGAGACATCGTTTCATTTTTTGGAGGCTGTGGACTGACTACTTAACAGATAAAACAGGGTTAAAAATGCAAGAGTTATGTAAATGCCAAGGAGGAGCTGAAGCGGGCTTTCCAAAAGATTACCTGAAGTTCCTGGGTCCGGCTCATAATTTTTTTATAATGTTCCAGAAGATATTTCAGATACAGAGTCAACCCTTTAAAAGAGAAGCAAGAAGGAGGTAAGTGTCTATTCAATTCACCTCCTTTGCTTTCTGAATAACGTCTTAACAGAGCTTGCCGACAGGTGGCTGAGGGCACCACCGCCCTCCCATCAGGAAAACGTGAACTGCCATCCAACTTGACTGGTTTTGACATGACTGACCAGCTTGCCTGGGTTCAAAGCCAAGTTTCTTTTCGGAGGTGGAGAATAAAACGCCACCAACAGAACTCCTATTGACTAAGCGCACACCGTACGCAAAGCCACGAGCTGAGTGTGGGGGGATGACACGAAGCTTGGGGTGGCCAAGAAGCCACTGGATGTGGGAGGAATTCAGAGTAGGAGGGGAGAGCATTTCAGACTGGAGGATGTGGTGGGCTGAGCGATGCCCCTCAAAGATATCCAGGTTGAAATCATTGGAGCCTGTGAATGGAGCCTAATCATTGGGCAGAAGGAACTTTGCAGATGTGAGGAAGTTAAGGATCTTGAGATGAGTGGATTACCCTGGATTATCTGGGTGGACCTAATATAATCACATGGGTTCTTACAAGGAGACAAAGTGGGATCTGACCACAGACAGAGAAGGTGAGGTGACAGAAGCGGTGAGAGACTTGAAGACGTGGCACTCCTAGCTGTGAAGACGGCGGATGACGAGTCAAGGAATGCAAGGAATAAAGCTCTAGAGATTGAAAAATGCAAGGAAATGGCTTTTCTCCTGGAGCCTCCAGGAGGAACCAGTCCTGCCAATGCCTTGACTTTAGCCCAGTGAAACTGAGGTTGGACTCTGGCCTCCGGGACTGAAGAGAATAAATGTGTCATGCGAAGCCACTGAATTTGTGGGAATTTGTTAAGTCGCCATGGGAAACTCATATGGGGTCGAAGGCAGGTGGGGAGGTGGGGGATGCAGTGCGTCCCTCGGGAACGTGCTGAGCTGAACTGGGCTGGAGCAAATGATGGGAGAAGGGGGAGTAGAAGGTGGAGTGGACTGGAAGGCTGAGGTCAATTTGTGGCAGGCCCAGAACACTAGCCTGAAACATGTGAACTTGATTTAAACATCACTGAAATGTACTGAGTGTGCCCTACGTCCCCGGCCCTCTGCTAAGCAATCAGCGCATCACCCCACTGCACTGTCTGATCATCACCCCATTTTACAGATGGAGCAGTTGGTCTCTGAGACCTGTGGCTACTGAATGCCACACAACTGGCGAATGGCTGAACCTGGACTTGGGCTCAAGTCAGTGCGACTCTAGGGCCTGAAGCAGTGAGTTGATACAATGAATGATGTTTTCTTTGGTCAGAAAAAGACCGAGGATGCATTAGAGAGGGAGGGGCTAACGAGGTTTCTTAACTGCGGCACCATTGCATGTTGGGCTAGACGGCTGATATGGGGCTGTCCTGGGCACTGTAGGGCAGTTGGCAGCAGCCCTGGCTTCTGGGTGCCAGGGGCACTCCCCCCCGCCCCAGATTTGATCATAAAAAATGTCCCCAGACATTGCCAGGCGTCTCCTGATGGTAAAATTCCCTCCTGTGAGTTTGAAGCAGGGAACTTGGCTCAGGGCCCCAGGGACCTCCAGGTCCTCAGTGCTGATGTCCTAAACTAGGGTGGGAGAAATGAGAATAAGAAAAAAGATTGAGAGAGAGGAAGCCTTTTTTTAGGGTAGAATGGTGGCCCCCAACATCAGACAGAGGAGGAGACAGTTTGGGGTGGTGTGGGGGTTGGGGAGAGGGGAGGAGCCACCGAGCTCAGGGTCAGACGTGTTGAGTTTGAGGTACGAGAAGGAGGACTCTAGGGAGAGATGGTCAGCAGAGAGCTGGGCATGCCTGGTTGGCAAGACCAGCCTGGCTCATCCAGGGTCTTTGTGCAAGTTAGGAAAGAGCACCTTTCCTCCTGGAGGACATGGCCCCAGGCAGGGCACCCCCCCTGCCGCCTTGGCTGGGCTCCCTGACGTGGCTCCCAACCCGCACTCCTGTTCCTGGCAGCCCAGCACGTGATGTGATGTCTGTTTGGCCATCACTACATGAGAGTGGCTGTTGCAGCACCTGGAGTAGAGGGTTTCTTTGTGAGAAAGGAGACGAGAGAGGTGGACCAAGGGCCGCATTGGAGGGAACACTAGGGGTTAGGAATTGGTGGAAGGGGCTGCAGAGAACAGAGAAGATCAAGATCAAGCGTGTTGGGTAGGCCAGAGACAACACAGGCTGGGAAAAGTCAGCGGCCGGCTGGCCGGTGCAGGAAGGCTCCACGTCGGTTCCTTGGCAGAAGCACAGCAAAGAAGCAAACACACAATGGGAAGCTGGCAGCGAAGACAGAGGGTATGATGCACTTCTTTAAGGTCGTCGGTGAGACAGGAGTGTGCGGAGCAGAGAAGGAGCTAAAGAGGCAGTGGGTTCCGGTGAGTAAGTACATGTTGCAGTTCATGTTTGATGGCAAAGGAAGCAGTCAGAGAAAGGCCGAAGGCGCCCAAGAGGAGGTTGCGATTCAGGACTTTGTGCACAATTTTTCTGGGAGGGAGGGGAGAGAGGGAGGGAGAGGGAGAGGGAGAGGGAGAGAGGGAGAGAGGGGGAGAGAGAGAGAGAGAGAGAGAGAGAGAGAGAGAGAGAGCGAGCGAGAGCGAGCGAGCGCACAAGTAGATACAGGGCAGGAAGAGCTGCATCTGGAAGGAGAACCAGGTGGGGACGGTGGAGGGCAGCGAGAAAAGATGGATACACAGGGAGAAAGGAAGGGAGATGGACATGCTCGTGCCTGGGCCTTGATCTCTGACAGTGCAGCCTTCTGAGAACTTCCAGCGTGGAAGAGTGAGAATAGTATCGTAATCATAACTGTCAAGTATTGAGCACCTGGTGTGTGCCAGGCACCAAGCCAGGAGTTTACACACATGACATTTTCTAAACCTTATAAACAGCCCAGCAGCGAAATGTGTTTGCATTGATAGCTGAGGTAACAGCAGCTCTGCAAGGTTAGGCTCCAGGTCTGGTAGGTGGTAGGACCTGAATTCAGATCTGGGCCTGTCATTCTCTTTTAAGGGAGACTGAAGGCTGGGGAGCAAAGCGCTGGGCAGGCCGATGTGAGGTGTGCGAGGGGAGAGGTGCGTCGGGAGGGTACCAAGATGGCAGGGGCGGCGAGATGGCCTTGGTGACGTTGGCTTGGGCTGTAAGAACCAGGTGAGTATATATATACACACACACACACACACACTAAACTGGGTTGGGTCTGGGATTGTGCTCAGCTGCAACCTGTGACCCAGAAACCCAAGGGGGAAGGATCAAATCATGGGTGGCATCCAGAGAGGACCAGGGAGAAGAGGGAGTCAAGGATTTTGAAGCGGAAGAGGGAGCGTGCTATTCTGGTTTTAGATTTGATGATGAACTGTAATCATAATGGGATTTCTCTGCCTGGGAGAAGGAACAATTCCTTCTTACGTTTCTTGTTACAAAAGTTATATGTGCCTATAACAAAAGTCCAAACATTACAGAAACCCAATGCGGGAAGTGTTCACTGCTGTAGCTTTGGTGGCCGGCACACAGTTGGCTCACAATAAATAGTTGTTGCATGACTGAGTCAGAGGAAAGGTCCTGGACAACCCACCATGCCGGGATAATACTCTCGACAGTTTTATGTCTTTTACTCCAGATTTTTCTTTTGATCAAATGCTGACCTTTTTTTAAAAAAATGGGAGTACACTGTGCATATTGTATCACAACTTGCTTCTTTTCCACTTAGAAATATGGACACCTGGGAAAGAGGGATTCTAAGTATGCCGGGAAGGCTTTTCGTCCTAACGGAGTCTTGCAGAAGTAGACACCAACAACTGAGCTGGCGAAGGACAATGTGGAGTCTGTTCTTCCCCTTATCACAGGGAGCTGAGAAACCAGGAGGGCGGACCTGGGAACTCACTCTCAAGGTTCCTCCTCAGACGTTTCTTATCTTCCAGTCGGGTCTTTAAGAGCAACCCCAACCTGCCGGGGGGGTCCCCAACAACACGAGTGGCTCCCCTCCCCATTTACCAGACCCAGATTCCCCTGGGGGGTTTGTTTCAGGATTCACACACCTAGCTCTTTAGGTGTGTTTTATCGCTTAGGACCACATTCGAAAAGGCAGATAGTATGGTGGTTAAGAGCAGGGGCTTTGAGGTCAGAGGGACCTGGCCTGAGTCCCAGCATGACCTGTCGGCAGCTGGGACATGAGGCTCATTGTTGTGACTCTAGGAGAGGATCTGGGAAAGGCTATTTTGGGCTCAACCCAACTGAGTGTTTAAGGCTCTGAACGTTCCATTTGCTGCCAAATGAAGATGGGGTGGGGTTGCAGATAAAGTCACCTTGATGTGAATAAATCAAGCCCTACCACCTTTGCGTATAATCTGTCAGGTTGCCACCCACATTCGGGTCCCATTAAACCAAGTATTTGAGGCTGATGATGATGGCCACCCCCGTTTATAAGGCTACTGTGACCCAGGCTCTGTGATGTGTGTGCATCTCATCGTTCAGTCCTTACGACAACCTGATGAGACTTTATCCCCATTTTATAAACAGGTAAACAGAGGCACAGGGAAGTCAAGCAACTTGCTCACACCACTAGTAAGGCCAGTAAGTGCGCAGTGGAGATTCAAGGCGTGGCAGCTGGTCTCCGAGTCCAGGCTCGGAACCGTTCTGCCGTGAAGTACGACAGGTACACCTCCCTCAGGAGCGAAAGGGCTCACTCGGCTCTATCTCCGCCCAAGTTAACGACAGAACCGGCCCTCTAGGAACTGGGCATGCACCTGGCACCCCTCTGGCTTTTTTTGGGGTGGGGGTGGGGGTGGGGTCACAGAAAAAAACCGCAGACGTTAGGGTCATGACGACCTCAGTTTGAATCCTGGCCACACCGCCTACCGGCTGTGGGGCCTTGGGCAAGTTTCTTAATGTCACTGAGATGCAGTTTCTTTACCTGAAAAAATTAAAGACAGTAACAGTCCCTAGCTCATCGCGTCATGGGAGGGGGGGGTAAATGTACACAGTGCGTATAATACACCTACCACAGCGGTAGCTGCCCGGGAGGGGTTAAGCAAGCATGGTTCCTGTCTGTCTGTCAGGAACTGCGAACACAGGAGGCTGTAGGAGTATTTGTGGATGGTGATGAACGACTGGGAACCCCCCGCTGGCCCCGGCAATGGAAAGTACCTTGAGTCACCTCATCGTGATGGAATGCTCATAAGAACAGTTTGCGAGCCAGTTTCTCCATCTCTAAATCGAGGATCGTGGACCTGCCTCATAGAGTCCTTGCGAAGATGAACGGCGGGTAATGGGTGGAAAATACTTAGGACAGTGTCTAGGATATAAGTGCTCAGTAGTGAACGACGACCGCCATCGTCTCCATCGTCACCAACCTCATCCTCATCACCATCTAATCATTATCACCGCCGCCGTGATCATCATCACCACCACCACCGCCACCCACACCACCATAACCAGAACGGTCACCACCATCGCTATCATCCTTCTCCTGGTGTAGATGGCTCTGTGCCGGGAATTCGGTACAGTAGCACCTGATATAGAGACTATACGCAATACTCAAGCTCGTCTCTCTTTTTTTTTAGTCTTTTGAGACTTTGCCATAATGTTACTTGCGTTGGACGATAAATGAAAAAAAAAATACCTGCTGAATGGATGAGGAAGGGGCCCTATCGCTGGCCTTTCAGTTATCACCTTCCATGCTCCTTCACTGCCTTCTTAGACCCACACAGCCGTAATCACAGAATACAGCCTGTGTTTCCCCAACAGGTGCTTCCCAGCGCATTGTTCCAAGAGATGAAAGGGCATCGAGAAAGGAGAAATTTCTCTTGGGAACGCTGCCATCTTCGTTCTATCCTTATAGATCCACAGTGCACATTGGTCTAGGAGGGACCTACAGAGACCTGCCTAATGTCGCTCCAGTCTCCCGACTCCAGGAAGTCAGGGGGAAAGGTGGTGGGTCTGAGAAATGCCACCTGATGTGAGTCTTTCTCAGCCTTTCTGGAATTGCTGGCCTGACAGCTTCACTTAGCAATAAACAAAATGTGTTGGGAGTGAGGAAGGGACTATGCTCGCAGAGCTTGGCCCCACTATCACGAGGACAGAGATCATGGTCTCTGCTTGTTTGAGTCCCAATTCTGAGGAACAACTAGAGGTGTGCGTACGTTTCGCCTGCTTTCAGGTACCCCCGAGACTGTGCCATGATCGGTAAAACTGGGATTGGCGCCTCCGATGTTCGCAGCGGCGTTATTCACAGTGGCCGGGACATGGAAGCAACCGAAGTGTCCCACGCTGGATGACTGGCTAAAGAAGCTGTGGTGCATATGTACAATGGAATATGACTCAGCTATAAGAAGAGATGCAATACTGCCATTTGCAACAACATGGATGGACTTTGAAATACTGCCATTTGCAACAACGTGGATGGACCTTGAACTACTGCCATTTGCAACAACATGGATGGACCTTATTTTGCCAAGCAAAATAAGCCAGACAGAAGAGGCTGAAAATCACATGGCAGAACTTACATGTGGGATATAAACCTAAAAGCAACAAATGAGCAGGGCAAACAAACAGAGACTCATGGACGTGGACAATGGACTAGTGGTTACCAGAGGGGAGGGGGAAAAATAAATAAAATGTTAAAAATAACTGGGATTGGCGTGCCACTGGTTGTTGAAAGAAAACCAGCCTCCCTCCTCTCTGTGCTGCATGTGAAGGGCAGGCAGTTTTATAAAAGTTAATCTTGTTTTCGCTTTTTTTTTTTTTTTTAAGAACTTTCTACCACCCTCTAGATTACTTTGGAGACATCTTGGCTGGGGATGTTGAATCACCAGAGTTGAAAAATGCTATTCTCATTCATTGCTGTAAAAATGTCAAATTCATGCAGCCTCACTGAAGGGCGATTTGGCAAGGAGAATCAACACGCTTCGAAATGTTGGAGTTCCTCAAGGTGCGAACCCGAGCCCTCTCTCTTCTCACTCAACATTTTCTTCCTAAGTGATATCATTCACACCTATAGCTTGAACCATCCATCCATCCAACCATCCATCCATCCATCCATCCATCCAACCATCCATCCATCCAACCATCCATCCATCCATCCATCCATCCATCCATCCACCCACCCCCTCACCCACGCACCCATCCACCTACCCACCCATCATCCCACAGATATTCATTAAGCACCCACTATGTGGCACATGTTCTTCTGGGTTTTGGAGATACACTGCTAACACCTATTTCTAGACTAGACACCCAGGGTGACAGCTGCATCCTCGGCACCTCCTCTTGGATGTCTTGCAGACACCTCATACTTCCCGTCCCCCTCGAACCTGGTCCTCATGCAGCGTTCCTCACCCTGGGTCTCAGTGGAGAGATCACATCTGTCCTTTCACACTAGCCAGAAACCTGGAGGTCTGGAGACCCCTTTCTCTCTGCCACTTCCCTCCCCAAACTCTGGAGACAGTAAAAAGATCTGTGGTTGCCAGGGCTGAGGGTGGGGGAGGGGAAGGATGAAGAGGCAGAGCACAGAGGATTTTTAGGGCAGCGACGATACTCTGTATGATATTATAATGGTGGATACAGGTCCTTACGCATTTATCCAAACCCATAGCACGTATACGACACCAAGAGTGAACCCTAATGTGAACCATGGACTCCGGATGATCACGAGGTGTCAGTGTCGGTTCCTCAGTCGTAAGGAATATACCCTCTGGTGGGGGATGCTGATAATGCGGGAGGCTGTGCGTGAGTGGGGGCAGAGGGCATGCGGTTCATAATCCCTGTATTTTCCTCTCACTTTTGCTGTGAACCAAACTCCTCTAAAAAACATCTATTAAAAAAAAAAAAAATATATATATATAATGGTAGTTGCTTCTGAGAGATAGGATTTAGTATAATTTTGACTTAATTTTTCATTTGCCTCTGTCACGTCTCAGTTTCCTTCAGCAATCGTGTCTCACTTGTGCATTCCCCTCCCCTCCCCCAAAGGAAAAACCACATCTTGAGAGGAGAAGCAGAGCCTGGAGAAGAGGGTACTTGGCCACATACCTAAGAAGCCTCCCTCAACAGATGTCCCATCGTGATACGATTCAACGCGACATTTTAGAGGCATGCAACTATGCGAGAAAAAAATCCCAGTAACCTTTGTCGGAGCTGGATAACTGGATGCCGACCTCCTGGAGGACTCGCTCCGTCGCCTCCAGCCAGGACTGGGCCAGGCGCAGGATGTCCAGCGCCACCTTCTGGAGCCCCGACACCGGCGGGCCCACCTGCAGGCGCCGGAGCAGCTCCATCTCCTTCTTCAGGTCGTTGCTGCAGCAAGACACTTTCATGCAGTCCTGCAGAGAGGTGAGATCACCAAGAGACGCCGTCACCGAAAATAGCGTCTGACGTGGCCTGTGAAGAACACTGGTCGTGACTTTGCCATGAAGCTGGCAGCGCCTCGTGCTGGCAGCACAGGCATGGCTCGGTTTTATTTATTTTTCACTTATTATTTATTTTTATTATTTTTGGCAGATTTTATTTTGTGTGCGCTCTCACTTTGGACTTTTGGTGGTCAAAGAGACCCCGCTTAGGTCTATTAGATTTCAAAGCCAAAATGCCAAGGACGATTCGGCTGAAACGAGAACCAAATTTG